GGGGGGGGAGCAGGATAGGGTGGAGAATGGAACGAGGCAAAGAAATGGTCTCAGGAAGCGTCCAGCCTCGGCCCGATCCCACAGGGAACTCTGGAGCATATAAGCTGCACCACAGAAAATATCTCACTCAGAGGCAAGGGCCTGGGTTGTTAGACTTCATAGTTATTGGCCAGCGGCCACTCCACAGCAGACTGGGCTGGGGCACCAACAGCATCTGCTGTGGTGTTTCCACCTTGTTTTTGCTCCCAGGCACCCATTCTTTCTCTGACTAATGCCCTGGTTTTCCTTTGGGGAATGTGCCCCATCCCCTGATTCCCTCTCCATGGACTCTGAGTGGAGTTGACCCATCCCCAGCTTAGTCCTGGTCATGTGAGATGTCAAAGTGGGGAGACTTTTCCATTTTTGAGTGGTTGCCAGTGTCCTCACCTTCTCTAGTGGGTTGTCATCTAAATACCAGCTGAATATGGCTTCTGGGGAGTCATCCCCCATGGTGACCCTGAGCATAACGTCTTCACTGGCATTTACTGGCCCGCAGTTCATCTCACAACTGAAAGGAAGACAGAGAACAGAGCCAGGAAGCTCCCTCAGGCATTGTGGCCACCTTCCTGCCTGGTCTTTTGTCCAGTTCTTCTCAAGTCCTTTGAGAAGGTGAGAAAGGGCCTTTTTGCAAATGAAAGGTAGAATAAAAGCAACCCCCACACCAACCAAAACTGGGAAATAGCTTTGGCCTTGCAGATGGAGTCATTCGTGCCTGACTGAATTCCCATTTCATTCGCTGCACAGGGTAATGATATGGAAAGTGCATAAGGCTGAGATAGGACGCTGGGCTTGAATTCTGTCCCTGCCACTTTTGGATGGTCACCTTGCATGAGTCACTTAAACTCTCTGAGCCTCAGTTTCCTTGTGAGGGGATTAGAGCAGGCAATTTCTGTGGTTCTTCCTAGTTCTAATAATAAATGAATGCTGTGATTTTATAACATGCATGCTACAGTTTATACATGACTTCTATTATTAGCTTATCCAACGCTTACCACAACCCTATGAGTGACGTATTAGAATCCCCATGTCACAGACCAGCAAACCAGGCTCAGAGAGCTCAGATGATTTGTTTCAGTGGCACACTTCTAAGTAGGGGGATGGAATGTGAACCATCATGTCTTGACCTGAATCCTGAGCCTTCTCTATAACACCCCGTCCCTTGAGCCAATAGGAGAGCTCTTTGGCACTTGCTGTGTGTTCGACCCATTCCCAGGTCCTTTCAGTTGTAACTTGGTAACAGCTCTTAAATCTCCCCACTCCTGTCTTCGTGTCTGTCCTAGTTCAAGTGTGCCAGACATTCTCCGTTTACCCTGCAGCCCACTCTCCCTCAGCTCTTTGTGCGTCTGTGCGCTTGGAGACTGATCATTATAGACTGCATCACCCAGTCTCTTGCACCCTCTGGCTTCTGGTTGGCCCCAGGCAGTGGGAAGCATTGACTGGAGTTTGGGGGTGAGAGGAAAGAGGCTGAGGTATTTATTTACAACTTCCCTGCTCCTTACCTGATGGGTTGCAGTTGGCAGAGGCTATGTTCCTCCAGCCAAGACCACAGCTCCTGTTGAAGGGCACCTCTCCCAAGCTGTAGATCCTATCTAGTAATATCATCCCCCAGCCCCTTATCTCTGCATTCCTAAGAGAGATAATGGCTTTCCCCAGTTATAGTTTGGCATTGTCATCCCTGGGTGGTTCCCTCATCTCTGCACACATCTGTAAATAGGGCCTTCATCCAACTCTCATCAGTCCCTCGTCTGAGTGAGCCATCTGCTTCCTTCAGGGACCTGACTGAAAGAACAAAGCAAGCTACCTTGAGCTCTCACCTTGATTCCTCCAAATACCTAAGCAATCTCCCCGAGTTCTCTCTTGCCCTCCTCCACCCTGCTACCAGAGCATTCTGAAGCAAAACGTGATCATGTCCCCAGCCTGCTTATAACTCTTGGATGGCCTTCCTGAACTCTTAGGATAAAAGACCAAAATCATGTCTTTGACATGATCTGCAAGGCCCTGCCTGCTCTTCAGTTTCTTCTTTCCTTTCTCTTCTTCCATGCTCTAGTCACAGCAGCCTCTTTCACTTCCAGGTTATTCTGTGCTCCCTCCTTTGACATTCTGTTTCCTTTCCAGTCCCGTTTCCCCTGGCCAAGTTCATTCCTCTTCACATCTCTGCTGGGGGGAGCCTCCCCTGACCCCGAGTTGGGAAAGTTATCATATAAATGTGCCCCCTCCCTTCATTCATTTGCGAATCATCACTGACCACCAGTAGTAACCCTATGAGAACTGAGACCCGGTCTGATTTTTACACTACTGTAAGCCCTGCCTCTAAGTCAATGCCAGACAGGGTTGGTTCTCAGTAAATGTTGCCCAAATGATGAATGAATGCCAGCGTTGCAGGAGTTTGCTCTGTTGGCCCCACCTGATTCGAGGCCTGAGTTCCAAGGGGGTAGACACATAGAGGCACTGCTCCTCCTGCTTCTCCAGCTCCTGGCCTCTCCAGATGGCCAGGCGCAGGGTGACTGCAGAATCAGGTGGTGGCAGGCAGGACGGCGGAACCACCAGCTCCCTCTGGTCTGTGCGAAGCAGCTGCCTCTCAACACAGTCGCTCCACTGAGCCCAGCAACGGCCTGAGAAAGAGAGATAGGCAAACACTATCCACTGAGGAACTCTGAACTTGACACATGTGGCTATCTTCTGGTTGGGGGTTTTTAGAAGAAAAGGGTCATAAATAAGAATATCAGCTTCAAATAGAGATTTTTATTTTTTTTAAATTTCACTTACAGGTTGCAAGAATGGTACTGCAGAAGGATACTTCTGGGAGAATGACCCACGCTTCACCCAGACCTGAGCAAACCTGCAGGATATGCCAGCTTGTTTTGCACCAGTGACTTGCGTTGGTCAGCAGGCTGGCATATAACAGGAAAGGTGGCCCGCCTGGGAGAATGTCCAGGGCAGCTTCTTGTCACTGGTGTAATTCTAACTCCACTTGGAAGTGATTGTTCACAGCTGTATATCCCCGTGGGGTACACTGGGGACCTGGGAGCTGTCCCTTCCTCTGGGAGGCTGCAGTGTCATCTCCTGCTTTATGAAATCATCCCAGTAAGTCTCTGTATCCTTTGCCCTTCAACTCTGTTGATTGATGTTTATCCCCTGCCTCCAATATGATAGTCATTCCCAGGACATGTCCAGGGGTCAGGTCATCAGCTCAGTCACCTAAACTCTGTATTTGAATCCTCTATTAATTCAGATAACAAGAACTAATATTCAGAAGGACGTTCTGACCACTTAGCAATTACTATCAAAAGCCTTCAAATTTTATATGACTTTGACCCAGTTATTCCATTTCTAGAAATGTATTTATGAAAGTAACCACAGATGCAAATAAAGATTGATCTATAAAGATGCTCATTACGGTGTTTATAAAGGCAAATAATTTGAAACAACCAAAATATCCAAAAAGAGGGCAATGCTTTGCCCCAGTGACTTGCATTGGTAGATAAATGACCATGCATCAGCTTGACGGTCTGTTGTGCAGTTTCTGTGAATATCAAAATGGAGACAAAGATACTGTGACATTAAAATATGCAGGATATGTTGTTCAATGGAACAAAAGGGTAGCGAGAGCAATATGTACAGTGCGAATGACATTCATTTTCTTTCTAAAAGAATGTGTATGTAGCTAGGATATATCCTTATGAAAAGGAGGGCAACTATTTCTTTCCCTTTTTTGCTAACTTTTAAAAAAATATATTTATTTTGAGAGAGAGAGAGGAAAGGAGAGAGGGATCAGAAAGGAGAGGGAGAGAAACATCGATCTATTGTTCCACTTATGCATTCACTGGTTGATTCTTGTATGTGCCCTGACCAGAGAGTGAACCCGCAACCTTAGAGTATTAGGACAATGCTATAACCAACGGAGGTACCCAGCTAGGGCCAGGGCAACCATTTCTTAAAAATAAGAACTGATGCTACAATTTTGGTTTTTCAGAAAATGCCTCATCACTTTCTCCTTCTAGGCTTTTCCTTGTGGCATAACAAGGGCATGGAGGTGAAAGGAGGGATCCACCTAAGAGGGGAGGAGTATTTTATCACTGACATTGTTTATAGTGATAATACAAAAGCAGACTGACTTTCAGGGTTGTTATAGTTCTTAAATTCTCTACAGATGATGCATTTCCCCACCTTGGTTTGCCACCGCTACCTGTTATTTTCATTGGAGTTTGCATTCTCTGGCATTACAAGGTACACAAAATGTCAGGCATGAGTCTGCCGCTGTGAACATTAAGAAAAAGAACAGCAAAGCTAACTGCTACCCATCACTTTGTGGTGAGATAGGGCAGCTCCAGAGCTCTAAGGCCACCTACCACATGACCACTGGAAGCGTAAATCCTTGTCGCTATCCGGCCAGCCCAGAGTCACTGTCGTGAAAGGATCCACGTACCGACCAGGTTCCACGTATACCTGCACATCCCCTTTATCTCTCTGCAAAAAAAGCAACTTATTTGTAAGACATCTCTCCACAGTTGACACCCCACCCTCTACCTCAGAGCTATCTGTGCCAAGGCGTGGAATGGAGACACCCTGTCCGATCTTCCGGCTTCCCTCGGGATGGATCACTGGGTAAGTAACTTTAGTTGGAATTCTCAGTGGGCTCAGTGCTAAAGGCCCACCGTGTGTTCAGTTGCGTTATCAGAGCCTGCTCTAGGCTGCGTCCTGTGCTTGTTGCCTGGACAAATAGGAATATAGACCTGGCTTCTGTCCTTACATTTAGTAGAGAAGACAGACAATGATTAAAACACAGAATGCAAACTGCTACAAGAGAGGGGGCCCAGGAGATTATGAGAATGTAGGAGAGGGGGGCAGTAGTTTAATAATGTAGGCCTTGGGGCCAGCCAGATGTCAGATTGGATCTTAGCGCTGGGACCCCTGGCCAGTATCTAAGCCTCTCAGAGCTTCTGTTCCTCCAAGGGTTTGATAGCATCTCACTCCTGGTATTGCTGTTGATCAAATAAGAGAAACCAGTGATATGCTTCCTCTTGGGTCTGGCAGAGAGGAGGGTGCCAAGCTGTGACCTCTACAGAGCAGACAGCTGGCATCAGGGCAAGCTTCCCCAGAGGATGGGACTCCAGAACTATTGTGAAGGAGGAGGAGGGAAGGCGGGCTGGGCAACAATGGAAAGCATGTGGATTCTAGGAAGAGGGATCAGCAAGCCTGCAGTGTGTTCCTGGAGTCAGTTCTGGTAGGACCCATTAAACAGCTCATGCCCAGAAGGCTTAACCTGTAATAACATGAAACTACAGCAGAATTCAATCCCCAGTGGTCTCCCGTGGCCTGATAACAAAATCCAAACCCTCTTGCCTTGGCACCTTAGATCCCATGTGATCTGGCCCCTGTCCGTCTCTCTGTAATCTCCTACATCCCCCCCTCTTCCACACAGGCCCCAGAGCCTTCTAATCCTGGCACCCAGAAAGCTCTTGCTCTGCTTTCCAGGATGGCTGACTGTTCTATCTTCAGGTCCCCCCTTAAATGTCACCTCTTATGAGTCCTTATCTGACCACCCTCTGTTATTTGCTGTCATTGTACCCTATTGGTTCTGGATAGACACATCAGAATTCCTAGTTATATGCTAATTTGTTTGTTAGTCTCACCCAGTAGAGTTCATGAAGGCAGGGATCATGTCTTTTTATTCACCATTGTATCCCCAGACCCTAATACCAAGCCCTGAACATTGTAGATGCATAGTAAATCTTTGTTATTGAATAAATGCATGCATGAGATATGTCAACAGCAAGGAGTCGGAGACTTAGTCTTGCTATAAAAACTAATGAACCTGGGCGTATTTTCTAATATACGTATTAAAAGAAATAAATTATCCTCTGAGCACTGCCTTGGCTGCCTCCCATAAATTTGGATAGGTTGTATTGTCATTATCACTTGGAAATATTTTTAAACTTCCCTTGTGACTTCTTTCTTTTACCTATTGGTATTTTCTAGAAGCGTGCTATTTAATTTCCAAGGCTAAAAGATGTGTACATATCCTAGATACCTTACTATTGATTTATAACATAGGGAATGTGCTATGTTTAATTTAAATCCATCTGGGTCTCTTTTCAAGCAGAAGAAATATTAGTGATTCCTACCTAGTGCACTAAAAAAACAGAGCCAAAAAATAAAACAGAGTGCTTGGACTCTTTTTCTTGTGATATTAAGTGTGTGTTTTTTTTTTAAAAAAAAAAAATACTCACATTCTTTTCCTCAGCATTTGTTCCAGATGGTTCTTGGAGACTGGAAGGAGCTGTGAACACAGTGGGAATGGCTGTCAATCTTTGGTGGTGTTTGTAAAGTTGCCAAAGGACAGAGTGAGAAGGTATGTGGAAGAGCCCTAGGGGATCTGCCTATCTTTGGAAATAGTTTAGGGAACACAGCAAATATTCAGGTCACAGGGAAATGGCGAGAGCAAACTATTATGTTCATCACGGGGCTAAAGACACCTCTTTGGTAGTAAAGAAAGAGGCATGCAGCTGCCAATGCAGATAAAACACAAGGCTTAGAGTCAGACGTGCAGCCGTATGCTATGAATGTTTAAGTACCAGTTGAGTGGGTTGGGATGGGGAGCCTCGATTTGTAGCATTTGCTAATTTCCATGGTGTCCAGGGGTGGGCAAAAGTAGGTTTACAGTTGTGAGTACACAGAACACAGAGTTAATAAAGCTATTGAAATCATCACAACCTGCATGGTTTTTTCCCACACGAACAACTGTAAACCTACTTTTGCCCACACCTGTATTTCCACAAAAGCTACGAAGCTGACCTCACTGAATGTCGAGTGAGAAGAGATGGGCATAACCAGCTGCTAGGAGCTGGCCTCAGCACCTCATGGTGGTTTTCTGATCCCTTTATTGGCGTCTTCCTGGCTGTGTGAATAATAATAACCTATGGGCAGGTTAGTTATTATTTCTGAGTCTTAGCTTCCTCAATCATAAGAAGGCTGAAAGGAATCCCTAATTCCCAAGGCTCCAGAAGGACCGAATGCTGTGCCATATACACTATTGTGCTGTAACCTATATATCTGTACAGAATGTTAGTGTGTTAAGTTTAAGAAATGAAAATGGTACACTCAATTGATACGCTCTGAAGATACTGATTAATGTAGATAATGATTAATGCCTAATTAATGTAGTAATTAAGATAGGAACCTAGGGTTATTCCATGTATTCACTAGGCTCCAGTGACTTGGCTATTTTAAGATCTGTATACTCCTGATCTTTGGAAAAATTTTTCCCAATAAAATCTCATTAGTACAAATATAGCTTCAGAGGTCTGTAAAATTATACAAGCGAATTAACATGCCTGACATAGAGGACTTTGTTAACCTTAAGAAGATGGTTTAATAACCCTGAATGAAAAAAATTTTTTTTTAAAAAAGTTGCTACCTCTGATCTTGTCATGAATTAGCTGAGTGACTTTTGCAAAGTCAATTAACCTCTCTGGGCCTCAAGTTCCATATGTGGGAAAGGAGGGCTGTGGACAGTAGAATGGATATCTGATGGTTTTTCCCCTGTCCAGGCATACATACTCTCTTCTTTTGGTAACAGCATCTACGGGTGATATTTTCTCTGCAGCGCCATCCCTCTCCCACTCTCAGTCGTAGGTTTGAGTGAAGCCAACCCTACATCATGTCCCAGAGTGGACATGTGATCTTTGTCTGCCCAAACTGAGTACCACTTCCCCCTGGTCTCAGCAGCAGGTCCACAAAAGAACATGAACTGAGCTTGGACCAATGAGAGGCAGCCTCAGGACCTCTGCTGGAAATATAAACCAGGACGTGCTCTTTCTCCTCTGGGCTTAAGGACTGAAGCCTGGGTCTATTTTGCTACGGCTTGGGAAGAGGGAATCAGAACGAAGTGACACAGAACCAAGAAATGGAACCAGATTTCTGAAGACCTTGAGTGGCTGGATCCAACTGTGCCTAAACCCTGGACTTTTCGCCTTCTGAGTTGATAAAAATTTCCTTTTGACCTAAGCCAGCTTAAACTGCTTTTCTTTCCCCTTGCTACTTAGAGTCCTGGCAAACACATTCAAGGTGATCTTTAAGTTCTGTGACAGCTACTATTGGCTGCCTACCCCACAGACATTACCCATCCCTGCCTCTCGGCTGCCAGAATCCACCTCCTCCCATAGAGCTGAACATGCTGAATGCCTGCTTCCCAGCATCCCTTATAGCTGGGGCACATAACCCCACCCTGGCCAATGGTATCTGAGAAGAAGACTGCTGGGGACTAGCAGGAATGATTTTTCACTGATAAAAAGAGGTGCATAGGAGGAAATGGGCTTCTGCTGCTGGAAACCGCTGAGCTGACCTGTGATGCCTGGAACTGTAGCAGCCATCGTGATTGCATGAGAAGCAAGCCTAAGGATGAAGCACAGTCTCCGAGGACGGTAAAGCAGAACAATAAGCTGGTCCTGGGTCTTTGCTGCTGACACTGAGCCACTGAGCCAACCCTGAAATTATCTCCTAACTTTTTAGTATGTGAGATAAACCTTGAACTCGAAGCCACTTAGGTTGGGCTTTCCCCTACTTGTAGCCTAAAGCATCATAGCTAATGCAGACTCAGATGTTTTGGAGCCCTGCATCAGTGGTTGAATGTTTTACTGCATACTTTGTTGCCTCTTTAGAGTAACCGGAGAATTCTTAATGTCTGTAGAGCAAGATAAGTATTCGAAGTCCTGCTTTGAAGAGCTCCTCACTAGATACCAAGCAAGTGCAATGCCCTAACTCCTGGTCACAAGTTTTACACCCCCTCCCAGAAAGCTCTTGCCTGCAACAGTGATGCTTCCGATTTCCAAACTCAAGTTTGAGAGGGCATTCCTCGCCAGCACGGTGACCAGAAAGGTGCCTGCAATGCAAAAGGTGAAAAATTATGAGTGTCGTAATAAACCGATTAACTCGCGCTGAGACAATTCTCCTAGCTTGTGCTTCCCCAGTCCCCCGATGGCAGCGTATGGATCTTTCATCCTCTGAGCATTTAATGAACCCCTGTTGTATGCCAGGCATGGTGCAAGGGGCCTGGGGTTGCAGAAATGAATGAAACATGGTTCTTGTCCTCAGGGCCTTATGGTTTGATGGACACGCAGGACAGTGCCAAACCATGGTAGGAATCCGCATGGGGGTATTGTGGGCACAAGGGTAGGTGGTCACTTTAACCTCAGAGGACAAAGTAATGATTTATGGGATGGGGAAGGGGCTAGAGCAAAAGTTCAAAGGAGGAAGGGTGCTCATTAGTTAGATTAAGAGGAGATTCCAGCAGAGGGAAAGAAATGACAGGATTTTAGAAAGGGCTGAGAAGGGAGGAGATGGGAGAGAAGAATTTTTAAGATTTATTTGGAGAGAGCGCAAACACATGTATATTCTACCCCTCCTCCCTCATGGGGAAGGGTGGTGGGTGCCAGCTTCTTCTCTGTTTTTTTATAGTGATTATCTTTTTTAAAAATACATTTTTATTGACTTCAGAGAGAGGAAGGGAGAGGGAGAGATAGAAATGTCAATGATGACAGTCATTGATTGGCTGCCTCCTGCATGCCCCCTGCTGGGGATTGAGCCCGAAACTCAGGCATGGGCCCTGACCAGGAATTGAACCTCGATCTCCTGGATCCTAGGTCGATGCTCAACTGCTGAGCCACGCCAGCCGGGCCCCTCTTCTCTTCTGAAGCCCAGAGAGAAGATTATCAGAGGGGACCCTTGGAAAGCTCTGAGTTTGGGAACCCCTGTGGACAGGTTCCTTACTCATGCCCTTGCAGGAATGGTGTATGACACAGGGTGGAGCAAGAGGGAAAGAGGGAGGGAGTTAAGGGCTGCATTTCTGCATTTGGGAAATAACACAGTCTGCTGGTAGCAGGCCAAAGAATAGGTAAGAATTTTCTATGGGCCAAATGTTTCCCTTGGGGAGAGAGGGTGCTGAAGAGGGTAGTGAGAATGAGAACACAGAATGACCCTGTTGGTGATCCAGAAGCAGCAGCAGCTGGGAGGATGTGTCCAGATGAGGGAGAGGCATGACCCCAGCCCTGGAGCAGAGGGACCCAGGCGGGGACCTTGACAGCCCAGAGAAGCTCCTACAGAGGCCGTTGCAAACATCTGCTGGGCCCTGAGAACTAAGGCCGGCCAGGACTGGGCCAGCCCCACCGAGTGAGAGCCTTCCTGGCTCCATTGCCTTCCTCTTCACCCCCTTCATCACACGAGTCATCAAAATCTGTTTTTCTTGTGGGGAGAAGAGGACTGCTTGCCATCTAAGAGTAAGCCATGAAGTCATGGGGCAGGCTGGAATTTTATCTATTATGCCCTACTCGGTAACTTTTATAGGAGACAAAAAACAATTTGCGTTTGAATTATAGCCTATATGTTACGTATAGTTTCCATCGTCATCTCATTTCATTCTGGCTTCTTGTGTTCCAACCTGGACCTTTGGTATCTGGCAACGTTCCAGTGTTTTTCTTCTTGAATCTATTGTCCTTTTTTTTTGGCCAGATCCCTTGCCGACGGTATGGTAGCCCTGCACTTGCATAGTATTACCCTCTTTTTTGCACACCTCTGAGACCCAGCGCAGGGGATGCTGTGGGCAGGGCCCTGGGTGGGCTGGAGACTCTGAAACCTCATCAGGTTCCTGCCTGCTGACCTCACCACACTGCCCTCAAGGACTGTGCTCTTTTCAGATTAAATGCAAATGTACCCTGTGGTCTCCTCCCCTGGCTGGTGCCAGCCAGTCTGTCCCCAGCCAGTCAGTTGCCCTATCTCTATTCCAGCTACAATTATGACACTTCCTCTCTTGTCCTCTCTTCTGTTCCCACTCTTCAGTTTTCACCTCTCTCCCCCCCAAGGGCATAAACTGCGGTTTCCCAAACACACTCTTCTCTGAAAATGATGGAAGAAATCAGAATACTCCTGCTCTCTTCCAGTGGTTCTCAATGGAGGCAGTTTTGCTCCCCAGGGGGACAGTTGTCATTGTCTGGAGACATTTTAGGTTGTTGTGACCTAGGAGGCCGGTGCTGCTGGCATCTAAGGGATAGAAGCCAGAGATGCTGCTAAACATCCTACAATGCACAGGACAGCCCCCACAGCAAAGAATGATCCAGTCCCAAAGGTCAGAAGTGCCAAGGTTGAGAACCCCTGTGACAAATAAGCTCCATGAGGGCAGATAATATTTGTCTCTGCCTTATTCTGTGACTCAGGTTGGATGCTCTTAACCATGTTGTGTCCAGGACACATTGAAACCTGGCCGGCAGGACCCTGGATTCTAAGTTGGGAAGGGAAGAGGAGGGAGGTTTGGAAAGGGAGCCACCAACCCCAAGTACCTTCAAGAGGAACTGCCACATGGTAAATTCCAGATGGCTGTCCAAGACTCTCCTCCTCATGGGAGAAAGATGCATTGAGTCCTGCTACCTCAAAGGTCAGCTCTTCTGGGATACCATGAGACACTGAGATGTTGACCCGTAGGTTCTGTCCAAGCTCCAAGTGGTCAGAAGCCCAGGAGGCCTGCAGCCCTGACAAGGGCTCCATGAAGAGGACTGTGATATTTGTGGAGGGTGCCGAAGTGATGGTGCTGCTGGTGGCTCGGATCTCCAGGTGGTGCATCCCCGGGCCCATCCATTGCTGGGCTGCTCCATCCAGGGTGAGATTGTAGGGGAGTAGGCCCCACTGTGTGGTAGACTCAGCCAGGGTTGTGTTATCTGACAGCACAGTATAAGTCACCCCCGTTTCTAGGTGGGGTAAGAAACATTTAAGAATGTTGATTATACTGAGATAGTTTAGACTCAAGCTCTGAAGTGAGATTCTGGATATAGACATGGATATGGATATAGCTATAAAGACATAAGTAAAGCTATACCCAGCTCTATTAACAGTGGTTATCTCTGTGTATTTGGTTTATGAGTTTGGGTCCCTCTCTGCTCATTTGTATATTCTAATTTATTTATACTAGGCATGTGTTACCTCTACTGAGAGAAGAGGTGGTATTCAAAATATTTAACAACTGAACTGCTTGGGTACAAACTAATTAAAATGGATGTTCTGATAAACCAGAATGGATACTGTGACCAATCAGAATGGATACTTTGACTAATCAAAATGGACATGATGACCAATCAGAATGGCCTCTATGACCAATCAGAAAAGAAACCGTGACCAAGGAGAATGGACACCGGCCATAACAGCTGCTATGGCTGTAGCAGTGTGTGCAGCTGAATATCAGCCCTGACTTGGGGCAACATAACTGTACCAAGTTGGTCAACACTGGCAGCATTGAGATGGACTCAGGCCCATCTGGTAGCACCCCCAGTACTATTCGAATACCCTCAACAAGGAGTGTCTTGTAAGTTCAGTTCTTGAGATGGATATATGAGCATGCAAAGAAGAGCCTTTGGAAAGCTGGGAGCTCTCACTAGCTTAGCAGCCTGTGACTTTGAACCTTTGACTCTGAGCCCTTCCTCCATTTCTTCATGTGTAGAATGGAGATAACAGAACATACTGGGCGGGCAAGTATATGTAAAGCACTTAGATCTGTTCCTGACACACACGAGGCACTAAACAAGTGAATAACTGAAAAACCAATTTGATAAGTGATTGCTGTTAGTATTTACTAATGCCTGGGAGTTGGATGGATAAATTTGGGGGAGATCAAGGTTGCCTTGACCTTGACCATTTCTGCAGACTCACCTCCACCGAATTCCACCTGAATCCACATAGGGTCCTTGAAGACAGCCCGGCAGAGAGGGCTGGCTCCTGACTTGGACAAGCCAGAGCACCCAGTCACACGGAGTCTCTCCAGCCTGTCTCGAATTGTCACTTGCTTCTGAGCTGTCACATGCCACTCACTAGTTGTGCACTCAGCAAACACTGTGAATTCCCCAGGGGTTGTGAATTGGTGGATCACGTTGCTAGACAAACTGCCAGAAACAGAAACATCGCCAGCGTTGGGAACATACAAACATTTGCATTCACCTGGGTGCATAAGTGCAGTCACCCACCTCACACCTTCTGTGCTCTGCAAAGATAAACAGATGAAGGAAATGATGCTATACAACCAAGTTCTCCGTGTTTGCAAAGGTGACAATGAGATGTCCTAGAGCAAGTGAGAGTGGAAGAAATAGCACTGACCAACCAGGGAACTGAATATTTGGCTACAAGTCCTTTCTGAGCCTTATTTGCCCCATCTGTGAAATGAGGTCGGATTCCAAACATCAAAGTTATGCGTTTGTTTTCTTCTCATTTTCCCAAGGGGACTAATTAAAAATCTCTAATATCGTCTGCAAAGATGCACATGAACGTCTCCTCCCAACCTCCCCCCATCTCCTGTCACATTCCTCTTTTCTAACTATATGTTCACTGAGACCTTTTTCAGGTCCTACATGCCACCTCTTGCTCACCTCAAGGCCTGCAAGTACACTGTCTGTGCTCACACTTATGCTCTTCCTTTGGTTCTCGGCTTAAACATCACTTCCTCGGGGAGGCCTTCCTTAGGTTCCCTTTACTGCCGTAGCTTTGCTCCTTCTCCTAGGTGACACTCGTCCCTTGTGTGCTTGCTTATCCATTGCCGTTCTTTCCTGCTAGGCCGTTAGCACAGTGTCTGCCTAGCTCTCTGTTATATGCTTGGCACTTAGCACAGAGCCTGGTACATAGTTAGTGTTCGAGAAACAATTGACAAATGAACATATTTGTGAAAAAGCTTAGAAAACAGTAACCTGATTCTTGGTGCCAGCCAAGATGCAATAAGCCCACCATAACCTATTTCCTTCATTGATCACTGCTTTACACTTGGACAGAATTCAAAAAGAAACTACCTGAAGACTCAAAAGTAAAAAGTAAACAAACAAAAGAACAGGCAGATTGGGGAGGAAAGTCAAAACTTTAAGAATCACTCAGGAAGACTGGAGTTTCCTGTTTTTCGTCTTTAAAAAAACAAACAAACTCCTTTATCTCTTGGCTTTGCCCCACAAGTAGCCCAAGTCATGGAACTGCCCAGTGAGTGAATAAAACAAAAACCCCAAGAGAAATCCCCCTTGGTTAGCCGGAGAACCAGGAAAAGCGATCCTGCCAGTGAGCGTGAGAGTACAGAGGAAATACCCATTTTTGTTTTGTGCTGTTGCTTTCTTTCTCTCCTGCTGGCCCTGCACCAGGCTCTCCTCTCTCGAAGCTATACTACTGACCATGTAGGGTGATGCAGACACTTGAATTCTCACTAAAAATATTCATCTTCCTACCCAGAGGAACCATGAGAAAGGACCTGTGGGAGCTGGAGACTGTGGGGAAAACCCTGAAAAAAAGATATCTAGACATGAAGATGCCCTAATTCTGTGTATTGCCCGGCATAAATCATGAACTCAACCACAGACTACACATGTATAGAAGAGACCCAAAGAAACGTAACAAAAGCTCTGTGAACTAAACTAGAACATAAACCACCACCCCGAGTGATACATCAATGGGACAGACCCAAACAGGTTTGAAAACTGAACTGACACGGGGAATACCACTCATAGAAGGCAAGTCAGAATGTGTAGTCTGAATCCAACTGGCTTTGCTGCCTACAAAAACAAAACAGAATTAACATTTTCCAGAGGATTTTAACAGGACCCAGAGTCTCAGAACCTTCTATTCAAAATGTCTAGAATACAATCCAAAATGACTTGATATATGAAGAATCAGAAAAATGAGATCAGATTTCAAGGGAAAACAATCAGTAGATGTCAGTTCTGAGTTGACTCAGATGTAGGATTTGTCAGACAAAGACTTTTTAAATTGACTTTTAGAGAAAGGAAGGGAGAGAGAGAGAGAGAGAGAGAGAAGCATCGATCAGTTGCCTCCCACACACACCCCGACAAGGGATCAAACCCACAACCTGGATATGTGCCCTGACCGGGACTAACACCCACCACCTTTTGGTATATGGAATGATGTTCCAGCAAACTGAGCCACGCCAGAGAAAGACTTTTAATCAGCTATTATAACCATGCTCTATGAGGTCAAAGTAAATGCTGTTCAAATGAATGAAAAGATAGATATTCTCAGCAGAGAAACAAAAACTATAAAAAAGAACCAAATGGAAATTTTAGAAATGAAAAACGCAATACCTAATATTTAAAAATTCACTGGATGACTACAGTAGCAGAATAGAGACAACAGAGGAAAAGATCTGTGAATTTGAAGACATAGCAAGAGAAATTATCCAATCTGAAGAACAGAGAGGAAAAAGATTACATTTTTTAAAATGAGCGGAGCATCAACAATCTGTGTAATAATATCAAAATGGAAAACATTTGTGTCATTAGAGCACCAGTGAGAAGAAAGAAATTGGTGTAGGAGAATGTATTTGAAGAAATAATAACTGAAAACTTCCCAAATGTGGCAAAACACATAAGGATTCAAGAAGCTCTGTGAATCCCCCAAAGGAACCCTCCCACACACAAAAAACGTAAAGAAAACCACACCCACATACATAATAATCAAACTGCTGAAAATCAAAGATAAAAAATCTTGAAATCAGCCTGAACAAAAGGACACATTACATATGAAGAAAATGGTGATTTGAATGACTATAGATTTCTCCTCAGAAACCACAAAGGTCGGAAGACAGTGAATGACATCTTTAAAGTGTTGAAAGAAAAGAATCGTCAACATGTAATTCTATATCCAGCAAAAATATCTTTCAGAATTAAAGCAAAATTAAGACATTCTCAGAAGTAAAGAAATTCTCTAAGAGAATTGGTTGCCAGAAAACTGACTCTAAAGGAAATGGTGAAGGAAGTTTTTCCAGTTGAAGGGAAATGATACCAGGGGAAACTTGGGACTTCAGGAATGAAGGGAGAGCACAAGGGATGGTAATATCTTGGTAACCGTATAAACTTTTTCCCCTCTTAAACTTCTTTAAAATATGTATGATTATTGAAAGGTGTTTCAATGTATGTAGATGTCCTACATACGACAATTTTAATGTAAAGGTAGGCAGGCAAAGGTACCTATATGCTGGTAAGGCTTCAACATTTTACTTGCAGTGATATAATAGCAATTCTAAGTAGACTGTAAAACGTTAGACATGTATATGGAAATCCCAAAAACAACTACTAAAAAAGTAATACAAAGAAATATAACAAAAATAGCCATTAGTTAAGTTAAAATGGAATACTAAAAATATTCAGTAATCAAAAAGGAGTCAAGAAAGGAGAAGAACCAGCAGCAGGGGATAAACAGAAAACAAATAGCAAAGTAATAGATCTAAGTCCAACTGTATTGATAGTTGCACTCATTGCAAATGCTCTAAACATATAATTCACATATAATTCAAATATAATTCACACTATTCAATGATGTTAGAATCCTTGGAGGGCACAGGAGGATTTCTGGGAGACTGGTCACGTTTTGTTTCCTGACCTGGGTGCTAGTTACATGGGTGTGTTCATTGTGTAAAAATTAATTGATCTGTACCTTTTTGTGCACTTCCCTGTTTGTGGACTGTGCTTAAGTAAAAAGTTTAAAAATTGGTTCAAGACTCTGTCACTCACTGATTTGTGTACACCGCTTTGATATTCGATGTTAATGGGAATGCAACTTAAAAAGAAAGTGGAGAAGAAAGCTCCCTTTTGGTCTTTGCTTATAATGCTCAATCGTTAATAACACCAGAATCTGTGTCATTTTGTTTATGTCGCTTACAAATCGCCAGCCAGCTCGGTGGATGAGGCCATCTGACCGAATCAGGCAGTGTGATGGAATGGAAAGGGTGGGAAAGTGGAAATAAGATCTCCTAGGGCTCCTGGGGTTACCTGCAAAACCTAATGACTCAGTTAACCCCTCTGAGCCTCAGTGCCCTTGTCCATAAAATGAGGTGAGAGCTATTCCTGGCTGGGTTGTAAGGTTTAAATGAGACCCCAGCTGAATAACTATCTGGCATGTAATAGACTCAAATATTGTAGCTTTTTGTATAATAGATGACATTTATGCATTTAGCCTATTAAGATAAAAGCAGTAGATACTTTTATGTAATATTAATATAATAGTAGCAATTACCTAATTTTTAAGAATCAGCTCTGTACCAGTTTTTCTTTGTAGTCCCATCTACTCCTCAAAATTACCCAGTGAGTATTAGTTAACACTGGCAATACTAGTAATCACAGATCATGTCACTCCATGGCCTAAAAATTCTTGTATATCCTTTGTAGCGGATATGGTGGCATGTCACCCAGATTCCACCCTTCAAGACCGAGGCCTGCAGCAGCACTGGCATGACAGTGGCCGAGGGCTCACAGCTGAACCATCTCCAGCAATTCTTAGCCAAAGGGAGCCGCCTGTCCCGAGGTGACATCCCCTCCCCAGGGACATCCTGCATCCAGTGGCAGCTCAATGTCTGTGGCCCCTGTGCTGCTACTGCATCTCCCCCTACCCCATCTTAGTACCCCCAGGAAACCTCCTGCACCCCAAATCAGAGCCTGTTTCCTGGTGCTTAACCTGCATACGCTCCTAAAAACAGTCCCTTTTAACTGGCAGGTATCAAGGCTCTTCATCACCAGACCCCTTTTGAGTTTTCCATCTTTAATTTTCCCCACATACCCTTGAACTCCCAGTACAGTGAGGTGCCCACAGTTCCCCGGGGACGCCATGGTCCTTCACATGACTTCCCTTTTTCCGCACCCTCTGCTCCTGCCTCCTATTTCTGGTCCTCCACCAAGGACTTCAGCTCTACAGTCCTTTCTGACAGTCATCTCCCACAGAGTCCTCTCTTCTGCATCTCCCAGCAGCCTGTGTATATCTAAGTCGCTCTGAGGCTTATGCTGGCCTGTGCACGGGGGATTTCCAGGGAAGTCCCTCTCCAGGCTTGGCTGCAAGAGGAGAGGACTCTGAACAGACAGAGGAATAACGGCAATCCCCGTATCTGTCAGTAGGTGGCACTGAGGTACCTGGACTCAGACAAATTTCACCTTAAAATTGTTCCATAAAGCACATAATTTCAGAAATGTAAGAAGTTTTCGACGACAGAGAAACAAAACAGGCTGCCATGCAAGTATATGGGGAATGCAAGGCAAGAAGGAGCTTCTAAAGGAGAAATCGACTGACGTTTATTATGCTATCTCTGTTGGAGGTTGGATTCTCCCCATCAGCTCATGCTACTCATCTACAATTGGAGACAGAGCGTCCGATTTAGGTCTTAGCCTAAGGAGGAATTAAACAGAAGTAGGAGTCTGTACAAACACATAAAAGAAAAACGCAGTGATGTCCATACAAAGTATGTGACTTCTGTACACTTAAAACTCATGCCATTGTTCATATTGTAAATTGAATGCTGAGGCTGCTAATCCTGATTAGAAAGTATCAGAAATGTATTTCCCAATGTTAATAAAAATGATAGAAGAAGGTGAGTGGGTAGTTTCAAGGTCTAACAAGTCTTTAAAGAAGAGGAAATTTGATTATTTGGGTGGGGTGACAGCGGATGGTATCACCATCTATTTCTTTTGAAAGAGAAAAAAAACTCCAGTTGCTTTCACTTAGAGCTAATGTCCAGAGGGATTGCAAATGTGAAGCACTGCTTATTGTTGTTTGTCTTAGGTTATGAAAACATTTAATCACACAGAGAATTCAGAGAGCAATATGACAAACACCCTTGGACTCACTCACCATCCAGAGTTGACAAATCTTTGCATTTTGTTCCATTTGCTCCAGTTTTTAATGACAATTTATTACTAGAAAGTCCTTGTGTAACTGAAAGTCTTAGCAGGGCTATAGACAGTGAATTTTGACTTATGCCAAACTCAAGTTCTATAAAATTTGGGGGTTAAGGATTGTATAGCTTAGCATTTGTTGTTTTATTGATGAAATGGTAGCAAATGGAAAGAAACCAGCAGCACAATGCCACAGGTATTTGTATTAAACACTTTTTCCCAGAAGCATCTTCATATGTAATTTCTCATTTTACTCCAATCAAGGCAGCAATCAATATAAATGTGACTGAAGGAAACAGAAACCCAAGACCAGGGGTTGCTTCCAGGTCTAACACATTAGCAGTGCCTGGGATTAAAACCCTAGCCCCTGGGCACCATTTTATTCGGCACAATGCCTGAGACCTCGGAGCACTACTGAATCTGAGACCTGGACTCACTGGAGCAGGTTTGGTCTGTGGACAGGGCTGGCCCCCTGTTTGCTTCACCCCACCCAGTGCTTTCGGGAATGCTGGCACCCACGGGACTAGAACCTCTAGCTCCCACAAGGTAGAACTAAAGATATTTGGGGGCTAGAAGGGAGGCTTTTGGGCCCCCATGATTTCATGGGGATCCATGTTGAACTGGGGGTCCCTGTGAGGAGTCCCAGAATCCAAAGAGGACCTGGATTTTCTGAAACAGTCTAGGGCACCCCTCCTGCTAGGGCACCCAGCAGGGCAGAATGGAGTTTACCCAGGCCCCGGTAGGACTTTGAAATGTTATGAATTGGGTTTGGCCACTATCCGGTTGGGGAGGTAACTGTTTTCTGGAGGACGGAGGGATAGGCAGTGCTGTGTGCTGTGTAACCCACCAGGGACATCAGAGCCTGAGCTCTTTTCAAGGCCAGACAGTCCCGCTGACATCACTAACTGTGTGACTTGGACAGTACCACTATACCTTTGTAAAAACAAGATAATAATTGTCTAGCTCAGCACCATCCAATGCAAATAGTATGAGTCACGTGTAATTTTAAATGTTCTAATAGCCACACTGAGAAAAGAAACAAGTGAAATTAATTTTAATAATTTATTTTCTTTAACTAGATATATCCAAAGTACTATCACTTCAATGTGTAATCAGTATAAAAATTATTAGTGAGATATCATACCTTTTTGAGGGGAGGGGAGACTAAGTCGGAAAATCCCATGTGTACTTTACATTTACAGCATATCTTAACTGACAGCAGCCACATTTCAAGTGCTCACATGGTGAGTGGCTATTATATTAGCACAGTTCTAGTGAGATTGTGTGTGAAAGCTGCTTGGCTGGACTATTATTAATATTGCTACTTTTATTTTTATTATCCTTACCAATAAAAAATGTTCCCATACCCAGGTGAGCATCTTCTTTACCCCGTTATTGACTTCTCAGAGAGTGACCCAAGAGAGATTCTACACAGAGCCAAGCCAAAAGGACCCAGCTCTCCATGATTGTTCATGTGGCCTCCATAGTGAGAAACCAGTAAGCATCAATTTCTCCCATTCCCGTATGTATGCCCCTTTGTTCTATGACTCTGCCATTTTCCATCAACAGGTGTAGTCTGTTTCTACACCTGTTGAAACTGGGCTTGGCCATGAAACTTGCTTTTGCCAATAGCTCATTAGGAAATGCAGCACAAGTAGATTTGAAATATGCTTGCACATTGGGCCTTGCTCTCACTAGTTGTTAGAAACTCTTCTGCCACCATGCAAATGAGCCTAGACTAGCCTATTGGGTGATGAGCGACACGTGCCCCTAGCTGACATTCAGCTGACCACTGGACACATGAGCAAGGCCTTTCTAGGCCATCCAGCCCTAGCTGAGCCAGTCCAGACAAGAAGATCCACCTAGCTGATTTAAAGAACCATGGCAAATAATAAATAGTATTGTAAGTTTGGGGATATTTTGTTATGCAGCAAAAATTGACTGATACATCCTGACACAACATTCAGAGATTCCCTTTACCTGGGTGGGTAGTAGGGATCAAAAGTGTGGCCATCCCCCATACTAATTGCACAGGACAGGTTTCCAATGTAGGGGGAGAGGAGCCACGTCAGAGAGATGGTGACATTGTCAAAAATGAAATTGTCATTGGACACGGTCAGCTGCAGGCCTGCAAAGGAAAACACAAAAGTCGGTGTGCCATTGCAGAGCAAAATCGCATGTTTAAAACCAACTCTCTTCTAACTACCTGTCCTGCATCTTTCGGTGAGGCTTTCAAAGTTTTAAAAATTTTAGTTTTGCTTTTTAAAGGTCTTTTGAATTTTATATTTTGTTCATAGATAACAGAATTTGAAATGTATAACCTCCCCTCCTATGCACACTGCAGTACCTCAGCCCCCTAGTTCTGCTCTTCAGAAGCAACCATTGTTATCAGTATCCCAGATCACCTTCCAGAGATACCTACACATTCACAAGCACATACGTACTTTTCTATTTATACAAATGGTGCCTACTGTATTAATTATTTGACACTTTTCTTTTTTTTCTTTTTTTTTTTTACTTAGTGTATCTTGGAGATTGTCCTATATAAATTCAGTTAGAGCTGCTCTGTTCTTTTTAATAGCTGCACAATGTACCATAATTTATTTACCAGGATTCTATTGATTGTCCAAATGTATTTTGTAACATTTAAAAAGACAAAAGGCCAAGCACCTTTAAATGTACTTGGCTAAGGTGGCCGATGATTCATTGTAAGCCATTTAGTGCACATTAAATTTTACAAAAACTTGAGCTTCTAAAGTTGGCATGGAGATGGAGCGAAGGGTAGAATTTGCTGGGTCTTCACACAGCCCTGGGCTGATTTGTGCAACATAATCTTTGTTTCTGGGCACAAATGGGAAAGGGAAAGGTATAAGAAGCTGAATGGAAGTAAAAAGGACTTTCATGAGCTACCTGGGGAAAGTCACGATGCACCTAGGCCCTTCTGGGCACAGTCAGGGGTGGGACTTCTGATTAAAGTCCCTCCCTTCACAAATCAGAACCTGATTGTGATCAGAACACACTGATTCACAAGGGGACAGGATATTTGAAACAAAGTTAGGGCAGAAAATCTGGACCATGTGGTTGCCAGACCCAGCTCGCCCCCTGCCCTGAGCTATGCATTTGTCCAATGACAGCAAACCGGGATTGGCAGATCTCCAAAGGAAACTCTTTGTTGGTTAACAAAACCACCAAATGGAAAGCACGGCCAAAACACGTGGCCTCCTCTTCCCAGAAAATAGAAGATACCTGCTCACTGTTATTCCACCCAAGCATGCCCAGCAAACTAATGTCCCTGTAAACCTGTCTTCCATGCCACCCTCCCCTTTCTCTACCCTCTCCTCCGCGTGGTCCTCCCTTCTCCTGTACCCGAGGACCCTGCTCTCCTGGATGGCCCCTGGAGACCCCAGCATTCCCTGACTCATCTTTTCCCTTCAGAGCTCTTTGCATCATTGCACTCGCCCTCAATAGAAGTAGCTGTTCTGACCCATTAATGTGCTGGAAAGCAGCATAATGTGGCTTCACAGCCGTAGGGAAAACTGGCGCCCTCATAAACTGTTAGTAGCAATATAAATCGATACAGAGATTTTGGAGGGTAATTGGGCAATATCTACTAACATTTAAAATGCATACCCTGTGACCCAGCATTTCCACTACTAAGAAATTCTCCTCTAAAAACAATCCCAGGCACATGTCAAGATACATGCACAAGGATATACAAGAGAACACTGCATAGTGTTACATAACAACAAAAGATCGGAAGCAATCTGAATGTTTATCAAGAGGGGACCTGGTTAAATAAATTTTCACATAATCTTATGATGGGATACTATGCAGTTATTAAAAGAATAAGCTAGTGACTTGGAGAGATGTCCAGGACTATATATATATAATATTATATATATTATTATTAAGTGAAAAGAATAAGTTGTAGACTAATATATTTTACATGATTATATTTTTATAAAAATATACATAAATAAATTCATACATAGCCGTGTCTATCAAAACATTTTTAAAAGCAGGAAAGAACTTATTCTAAACAGTTAATAGTGGTTTGGTTAGGGGGAATAGAATCGTAGAACTAAAGGGAGAAATTCTTCCTTCTTGATTTAGAAAACTTTTGTAAATTGTAGTAATGTGGGTTATTCTTAGGACTTTTGAGATTTGAATTTTTTAAAAGTCCCCATGTGTACTCAAAAGGCAGCGAGCATATGGGAGGGCGGTGGTTGACCGGGTGTGCTGTGGGGGTGGAGATCTTTTGACTCCTTTCAGCAAAATAACCTTGGGTTTATCTGTTGTTTATTGACTCACCCCATGAAATTTAAATTGAAAGGTCCTGGGGCTAAAAATAAATTTATTTTTTTTTAACTTCTGGCTTCACAGTTCAGTTTCTGCAACAGGGCCCTCAAATACTTTATCCCCAGGCTAACCAGGCCACAGGGCAGCAGTTTTGGATTAGGAAATCTCTTAGCACACAGTAGATTAACCCCCATGGGTGGCTGCTCCCTCTGCTTCGAGGGGGCTGGACCTGGCATGGAAATAAGAAGGGAATTCCCACGCCCAGGCAAGCTGGGGACTCACCTTCCCAACACTGGTACTGCACCCACAGGTAGCTGCCCCGGGTGGGGCACAGGTCTCCAAAGAAGGTCCCATTTGCTGCCAGCTGGCATGCCTGCAGCCCCTGGCACTGTCCTGGGAAGCACCCGCATCCCAGCAGAAGCAGGAATGGTGAGGACATAAAAGGATAGGTTCAGACAGAGATGAAAGGCCTCGCATTCATTCATTCACCCACCATCTGCCCAACAGATATCAGTTGGTGTCTACTAAAGACCAGGCACTGTGCTAGGTCCTGGAGGAGAGAGAAGCAGGATTCTTATCCTCAAGTAGTTCAGGGTCCAGCCCAGTGGTTCTCAAACTTCAGATTGCACCAGAATTCCCTGGAGGGCTTGTGATTCAGTAGATGTGGAGGGCAGCTTGAGAATTTGCTTTTCTAATAAGCTCCCAGGTGATGTTAATGCTGCTGGCCCAGGGACCTCCCTAGTCAGGTGGCCTAAAGTTGAAACCTACACCTTGAGGACTGGCAAAGAGAGGACAAGATTAGAAAACCTGTGGTTACCAGGGCACCAGGTGCCTGCAGGAGGGAGGAGCATGGAGAGCCCAGGCCAGAAATTCAGGGTCATCCCGATAGTGATATCTCTCTCTCCCGCCTATGTAGATGAATTAAATTCATACAGAGAAGCATGGGAGAAGGGGCAGGCAGATGCCATGGCCCTGATTTCCTTCTTGGCGTATAGCAGATCACCTGCTTTCACGGGACCCTCCAGGCCCAACAGCAGTCATGGCAGCAGAGAGGAGAGGGCTCCCCTGTGTCCTGGACGATGGAGATTTCTAAGGCCTTTGCACCCCTCAGGAGGATGCAAAGAGCCTCTGGATTCCCGGAAAGTGAATCATTGCCATGGGGCAAGTACAGCTCAGAGGCAGATTTAATCTAATTTAGAAAAACAGGTCCTAGAGAAATTCTCCTATGTGAACAAGAGATGCTACCAGGAACATTTTGTTCAGCATTACTCACAATTCAGCAAGGATTAAGACTCAACCCATACAGCTCTCAACAGAGGAAGAGACAAATTGCTGCACAGGCGTACAATAGATGAAACAGATAAACTAGCACAACATGTATCAAGATAGATAGTACTGTGAGCAAAAAATAAAGACAGAAAAGAGAAAAAAAGCACATTGCAGATACTGTCTTTACTCCATTGTATGCTCTTACCTCCTTTGTCAAATATTAATGGAGCGTAATGGCGTGGGTTGATTTCTGGGTTCTCTGTTCTGTTCCATTGCTCTATATGCCTGTTCTTGTGCCAGTACCAGGCTGTTTTGATTACAGTGGCTTTATGGTATAATTTGATATCTGGTATTGTAATCCCTCCAACTTAGTTTTTCTTTCTCAAGATTGCTGCGGTTATTTGGGGGCTTTTTTGGTTCCATATAATTTTTCGGAGTATTTGTTCTAAATCTGTGAAATATTCCATTGGTATTTTAATAAGGATTGCATTGAATCTATAGATTGCTTTGGGTAGTATGACATTTTAATGATGTTAATTCTACCCATCCATGAATGTGGTATATTCTTCCACTTGTTTGTATCTTCCTCTGTCTTTTTTTTCAACACCCTATAGTTCTCCAAGTACAGGTCTTTTACCTCCTTGGTTAAGTTTATTCCTAAATATCTTAACTTTTTTGTTGCAATGGTAAATGGGATTTTTTTTTTTTTTTTTTTTT